TGTTTGGCACCGCACTTGACCAAGACAAAGAAAACGCCTTGTTCTTTATCAGTCTAGGAGAACAACTTGTAGGTGCACATATAAAGAGAAGAATCTTCTATAAACATCATCTCACCATGCCCATCAAAGCAGCAGTCTTGTCCCCTGGCTACCACTGAAAACCAGCCACCACTGGAGCACCTGGCAAACTCAACAGTGATGCTGCCATACTTGTCCAAGGACTGCTGACCAGAAGAACTGCAAACAACGTGGAGAATGCATTGATTTTGTATGCATTGACCACTCCACATCAATGCGGATGGGTGAAATCTGCATATAGGCTTATGCTGAAAGGGATTCCTGCTAGTTCTTTCAATTTGCTCGTTACATAAAGTGTTTTCACCTAAAACACTGAAGGATTGTTCTTGGTTTCTGAATGCATTCGGGGTAAAAATTTCCCCCATGACACCATCATTAATGTAACTTTTATCTCGACATTGGATGAAGTTTTAATAAAGGTGGAAAGGAAGAGAAAGAAAGCCTGAAGGTAGCTTCCATCAGGATACTGGCCTCTCTTAATCCCGAGGGCCTTGGTACCATCGCAGTCCACCCCAGAGTCCACTGGGTCCCCAGTGCAAGTCAGTCTCTTTCCCCTTCTTAGCCCAGGGGATTCTTGTCCTACTTCTGCAAGGGCAGAGGCACTGCTGGCTGCCAGCCCTCTGTCTGGGTGCTGGGGAGCTCAACAGCCAGTTGCCCCCATCCCAGCGGAGTTCCCTCCTTTTAACTCCTCCTCCAGCCCTGGCTTGGTTTGCAGGTGTGGAGGGCTGGGACTTTCCAGCCCAAAGCAGCTCCTTAACCCCTCCCGTGCTGGTGCAGGGTTTGATACCCCTTCACAGGGGTCAGTGCAGGTATGGAGGACACAGCTGAGACGAAGTCAGTAGCTGCTCCTTCTTATGCAAAGTCTGAAAACCACGCATAGAAGGCAGGGACGGGCAGCGGCTGGGACCTTCTCACAATTTGGCAGGTTAGTTTCTTTTAGAACTCTTCCAACTAGAGTGAGGCTGAGTATCTCCCTATGGGACCGGGCTGGGTAGACGGAGGGGACTTGGGGTGAATAATAGTGAAGGGCATTGACTGGCAACTGGACAGAGGGTAGGTGGGGAAAGGAATGGTTATAGAGCTGGCGTGGAAATAGATTTCTCACTGCATGAAACTTAGCAAGATTTCAGACTTTCCCCCCTTTTGCATGGGGATGAAACAGAGACCTTTCGAGAGAGCCTGAACCCAGAGTGGCCAATAGCCCCTGGTCAGGGCGCTCCCCCGAGATGTGGTTCAAATACCTGCTCTGCCTGATTGGAAGCAGGGACTTGAATCTGGGTCGCCCATATACTAGCTGAGTAGCCTGACTACCAGGCTATACAAGGGTGGGCTTCTTGACCTCTCCTACTGGAGCTGTTATACAACATGGTATCAATATTTCATATTCATTGGGCAGAGCGAGAGACACACTGACTCTACAGGCTGATGGTCAGGCCACTCATCTGGAATGTGAGAAACAGGGAATTGACTCTCGGTCTACCACACGAGTGCCCTAACCATCAGCCTATGGAGCCAATCACTGTCTTGCTTTCTCTGGCCCAATGACAATTTAATTATTCCTACGGAGTGGAACATCTCCAGCAGGAGAGATTGAGAGACCTGCCCCAAAATGGCCAACAGCCTGGTGGCCAGCTCACTCACCTGGCATGAGGGAGAATGGCAGAGCGGGGACTTACCCTGTATCGCCTACATCCCAGATGAATGCCTACTGGGTTACTGGCTACTCTGGGGGCTCTTTCACATTCTAACCAGAAATTCCATCCTGGACCTGAGAAACTTTCCAGACCAAAGTTTTGCAAACCCCAGTACATTCCTGCTAAAAGTTTTAGTTTCAACAAATTGGCATCTCTGACTAAAAAACATTCTGACAAAAAAATTCCCGGCCAGTTCTGGTTGTTACGTCCAACGTTCTACTGGGGCTTTGACAACTTGCTTGACAGCTCTCAGTCTGTCTTGTCTTTTAAACTGTGGGGTTTGGGGGCAGGGATTGTTCTGTTCTGTCCAGAGCCCAGCACAATGGGGCCACCACCTTGACTGGGACCACAGGGGCTACCGCAATACAAAGAAATCGTCATGGATTTTACAGGGAAGGTGCTCAGATGCCATGGTGATGGGCCACAGGATAAACTCTGCCCTAGATGCTTTTAGCCCATATGTTTCTGTGCTCCATATTATGTCACAGACTCATAGACTTTAAGGTCAGAAGGGACCATTATGATCTTCTAGTCTGACCTGCACAACACAGGCCACAGAATCTCACCCACCCACTCCTGTAACAAACCCCTGACCTATGTCTGAGCTACTGAAGTCCTCAACTTGTGGTTTAAAGACTTGAAGGTGCAGAGAATCCTCCAGCAAGTGACCCATGCCCCACGCTGCAGAGGAAGGCAAAAAAAACCCCGGGGCTCTGCCAATCTGCCCTGGAGGAAAATTCCTTCCTGACCCCAAATATGGCGATCAGCTAAACCCTGAGCATGTGGGAAAGATTCACCAGCCAGACACCCAGAAAAGAATTCTCTGTAGTAACTCAGATCCCACCCCATCTAACATCCCATCACACGCCATTGGGCATATTTACCACTAATAGTCAAAGATCAATTAATTGCCAAAATTAGGCTATCCCATCATACCATCCCCTCCATAAACTTATCAAGCTTAGTCTTGAAGCCAGATGTGTCTTTTGCCTCCACTGCTCCCCTTGGAAGGCTGTTCCAGAACTTCACTCCTCTGGTGGTTAGAAACCTTTGTCTAATTTCAAGTCTAAACTTCCTGATGGCCAGTTTATATCCATTTGTTCTTGTGTCCACATTGGTACTGAGCTTAAATAATTCCTCTCCTTCCCTGGTATTTATCCCTCTGATGTATTTATAAAGAGCGATCACATCTCCCCTCAGCCTTCTTTTGGTTAGGCTAAAAAATCCGAGCTCTTTGAGTCTCCTTTCATAAGACAGGTTTTCCATTCCTTGTCTCTTTCATCAACAGAAGTTGACCAATAAAAGATCAACTGTAACAACGTGGCAGCCACCTCTCACGAGCTCCCCTTCTGGTCGGGTGTATTTGCAGTCTTTAAACAGTCCCAGGCCTGGCATTGGGTCGGGTCATACCTCCAGGGCTTCCTCCCTGGAGGCAATGGTTTTTGCCTCTCGGGAACCTTCTGACCCCAGCTGGGCCACTGAGTAGTTCAGATCCCCTTCTGGGAGGTTTATCATTATCTAATTGTGGGCCACTTCCCCAGTGGCCTATGGGGGGACCCAGGCCTGCCCTCTACTCCAGGTCCCAGCCCAGGGACCCTAAGAATAGTAGCCACGCACCATTGTGTACCTATACAAAAAAATACTTTCAGATCCCTGGGCCACTTCCCCTCAGCCCCAGTCTTCACCAATGCTTCACCCTGACCTCAGGGCAAAGGTACTTTCAGGCCCAGCAGCCAGCCAGGAGCTTGGTCTCGGTCCCCCAGTCCCTGCCAGCACTGAGCTGTCTGTGGTGCTGCAGTTTCCTTTGGCCAGCCAGGAGCACCATGTGTACTCCTCTGGCTCCAGCAAGGAACTGAGTATGGTCTGCACTGCAGCTCCTTTTAATATTGCCCTCCTGGGCCCTGATTAGCTGCCCTCTGCAGCCACTCTAGGCTGCTTAGAGGACTCCTTTACTGCTCCTTTCCTGGGACTGGTGTAGCAGGAGTCTGAGGCTTTCAGCAGAGAGCCTCTGGGCCTAATGCACCCCATAACACTCACCCACCTTGTCTCCTTAATATTATCTAATTACTTTCAGTTTGACCTCCCTGGACCAGCTTAAACAATTCCTCGCCCACTGGTGTTTACACTTTACAAGTATGAGTACAAACTATACAAAGTTAGCTTTTATCTTTTCTTTTAATCAGTCTCTCTAGACCTTAGTCATTTATTTACTGCCTGAATTCATTCCTGCTTCCTGGCATATTTAGTATCACGATACCTAGCACCAAATATAGTAGAAAAATCTTACACCCTTAGCTTGCCTTTATGTTAGTACAGTATGATGAGCTCCAAACACCACTAGACCATGCTACACCACATGCATTACAAGTTCAAATACATGTTGCCCACTTCTATCTCAGGCCAAGATAAAAAAAACCCAGAAATCTAAAGTTAGCCAGATTTTCAAAAGTTCTGAGCAGTGTCCAGCGATGTCAATAGAAGGTGCTGGACGCTCAGCACGTCTGAAAATCAGGTTCCTTAGTTAGATGCCTGAACATTGATTTAGGAGCCCGACCTTTGAAACTCTTGGCCATGCTGTTCTTCGTCTGAAAAGCAGAGGATGAACTCTTGTTTTAAGTGTAAAGTAGAGTCTGGTTTGAACTAGGCATCACTGCCACTAACTACCCCATAATAGGCATTTCTGTGGCTCCAAAGAGCACAGTATCTGAGCGCATCATAGACATTCATGGATTTAGGCTCTCAACCCCCCTGTGACATACGGAGGGAATGATACCCCCATTTTACAGATGAAGGTCTGATTGTCAGATGTGCTGAGCATCCCCAACTCAAGTCAATGGGATCTGCAGCTCCACAGAACATCAGGCCCCAACGACTGGTCCAATGGCACACAGCGAGTGCATGGCAAGACCTCAAACTGAACCCAGATCTCCTGAGCCCCATCCCACAAGCCCACCTTTGGCCAATTGGTAGTTGTCTAATGAGTATGTTAACTAAGACCAAATCTATTCCTGAGCCCTGGCTCACACCTTGAGACACCTCTCCCCATTCTATACTCAGCCATTCATCATCACTCTGTGTTACTCACATTGCTTGCACCCCCTTTTGACACTAGCTATATAACGACGTGGCCACGTTAGTGGAGAAGTGTGTCAGATACAACAATACGCTCCTCTGAGGAGTACAAGTGTTTTCAGATCCCAGCGCTCCCGCAGAGCAGACAAACAGTACCTTGAAGGGTCTGAAGAGCAGGTAGAGCTCCCGCGGTTTGATGTCCAGGGGAAGGCCGCTCACAAAGAGAGTTCGGACCTAGAAATCAACAAAGACAAACATGCAATTGAGATACGCATCCAAAATCTACTGCAGGCTTTGAAATTATCCAGACAATCCATACGAGGAACCTAATTAAAGCTTGCTTCAGGTGTAAACACAGATGCCTCCTACAGCCTGGTGGGAAAGGAGAGAGATGCACTAGTAAAGATTCTTTTGACCTTTTCCTGAAGAGTTTTAACACTAACACAGTTTGGAGGAGCTCTGAAATTTGGCAGGGGACTGTTCCTTGGGTCATGAAGGTGCCTTTTGCTGGCCTCGGGTGGCTGACAATGGCCATTGCCGGTCTGAGGTTCACACGGTATAGCTTGTTTTTGGCAGCACATGAAAATCCCTCAGCAGTATGAAGACTCCTGGCTGGCGACTCCATACTTAGGGCTGAGTTCTAAATTGGGCTTGAAATGGGTCATGAATTCCTGGTTTCCCCTAAAAGTAGATGGCCAATTGGCATTAAATTCCGCACCGGATTCGTTTTTATGGTCCTTTGATTGTCTATCCAGTTTGTTTGGTTCTTCTATCTAGATTTTAACGGGAACTCTTTGAGCAGCACAGCTACCGCTTTAAACACATTGTTTCTCCACACAGCACTTTGAAGAGAGGTGGGTCCCGAGTAGATCTTGTGCAACAGCTATTTAAAAAAACAGAATTTGGACTGATGGTCACTTTTAACTATTATTCATGCTAGGACTGAAAATGTATGTACTGTGCACCTAACCCTGACTGAGCACAGCTGGGCACACAGAAACTTGATTGACTGATTGGGGCCAGGCGCATGCAAAATCTTCTCCATCAGGAGCTACACTTTTCTTTCAGACTTTATCCTACAATGGAGAGGTTTTCATCTGCAGCTGCTGGGGGATAAAATCTTCTCCACCAGCAGCTGCACTTCTCTCCCACTCCCCTAGAGGTGCAGCCCCCTCCTATCCAACCCCTCTCCAATTCAAGCATTAAAAAAACCTAGAAAGTTAAAACACAAAAATCTGCACCCTTAACTCTGCCCATAGAGATGCCAGCCTTCGATCAGACCTCTTCACTGCCATTCTGTAACACCCCTTTGCCAGGCTACCATCTCCAAGCAGAACCAGCTACTACACCCACCACCCACAACTCTGTAATGTAATCTGGGACAGGGGTGTGCATGATGAATGGACAACGGGAGACAGAGTCATGGCTGCAGGGCGTCTGTGGTGGAGGGTATTTGTGGTCATGGTAAGATGTGTGCTTGTATTATTATGTTTATTATCTGTATTACAGTAGAGAGTCTGTACTGTTGGATGGCTTAAATTTCCATTTCCTTGCTTTTGTGTATTTCACAATTTGTGTATTTTGTGTATTTGCTGGGTGTGTAATCTCTCTAACCGGCTCACGATGGCATTTCCCGTGTATTCATCCCATCAGCACAGCCCAGGCATGGCCCCGTTTAGCATTCCACACACAGCGGGCAGCTGTTAGCCAGGACACAAACCTGGATCCTCCTCTTCCAAGGCAGCTGCTTGCCCCATCGCAGCGCTCACTGGCCACGGGGACGTACACCGTGCTGGGGACCAACGGCCATATTCCCAAAGGAATTGAGGCCCCTCAGAATGCAGACAGCTGCCGAGTGGGACTTTCAATGGCACCAAAGCAGATTAAGGCCCCTAACTCACGTGCTTTTGGAAACCCTACTACACTCACTGCTGCTGCCGCTGCTACTGATCCTGTTCCCTGCACAACTCTCAGTGCTGGGCAAGACCTCCTGGGCTACCCAAGCTGGGACTAGAAACCCACTTGCTCATATGGCAGACCCAAGTCTCAACCTTTTAACCACACTGCACTCAGCAAGAGTGGAAAGTGTTCTCGCAGGGAACGTGGAAGGGGGCTTGCCAAGCCCTAAGACTACACATGGGGTGTCTTCAAAGGCCCCGGTTCTCTTCGTCTGCTCCAGCAGCTTTCCCCTAAGGTGCACAGCCACACAGGGGTGAGGGCGGTATAAGAATCTCTATGGAATGGAATAAAACAGGGGTACACCCTGGCTGGGATCTGGCTCCACCTGGCCAGCTAAGAATGCCCCAGCATCTGGGAATTCTCAGTGGATGCGATGCTGGCATAGCTGGCTCCTGTGCCAACTTCCCCTGCCGGTACCCAGCATAGGAGTGGAGCGCCCCTATGTAACTCCAGTACAGTCCCTTGGGGGCCACAGCTGGCTGCCACAAGCGAAAACAGCCTTTAGGCTGCTATAATTTATGCCAGGACCCTGCACCAAGCAACTCTTGGCATAGAAGAGAGTCTGGGCTATAGAATAATTCCTGAATGTGAACTGGAGCACACAGACAACAACCCGTTCTGAAACGCTGTCATTCATAAGTAGGGCCCTACCTAATTCATGGTCTAGTTTGGTCAATTTCACGGTCATAGGATTTTAAAAATTGTTAATTTCATGATTTCAGCTATTTAAATCTGAAATGTCAGGGTGTTGTAACTGTAGGGGTCCTGACCCAAAAAGCAGTTATGGGGAGGTTGTGGTACTGCTACCCTTACTTCTGTGCTGCTGCTGCTGGCAGCGGCGCTGCCTTCAGAGCTGGGCAGCTGGAGAGTGGCGGCTGCTGGCCGAGAGTCCAGCTCTGAAGGCAGAGCCACTGCCAGCAGCAGCACAGAAGGAAGTATAGCATGGTATGGTATTGCCACCCTTACTTCTGCACCTCTACCTGCAGACCTGGGCCCTCAGTCAGTAGCTGCCACTCTCCGGCCGCCCAGCTCTGAAGGCAGCAGTGTAGAAGTAAGTGTGGCATGGTATGGTATTGCCAGTCTTACTTCTGTGCTGCTGCTGACAGGGTGCTGCCTTCAGAGCTGGGCATCTGGCCAACAGCCACCGCTCTTGGGCCGCCCAGCTGTGAAGGCAGCGCAGAAGTAGCGGTGGCAATACCGTGACCCCCCCTCCCCCGCAACTCCCTTTTGGGTCAGGACCCCCAATTTGAGAAACACTGGTCTCCCCCGTGAAATCTGTATAGTATACGATGAAAGCACACAAAAAATCAGATTTCATGGGGGGAGACCAGATTTCATGGTCTGTGATGCGTTTTTCATGGCCGTGAATTTGGTAGGACCCTATTCATAAGCTAGTTGCACCGTAGCTACTGTGATTCATTCGTTGAAAACTCTGTACTGCTAAAAATCATCTTCTGCAGAGGTGCTACTCTACAGAGTGCAGACTTCCATTTCAGGATAGATTCTTCCCACACCGCCTGCAAAACAAGATGTACCGGAGAATCTACAAGAACCACTGTTTTGAAAACAATGTCCGCTGGCTCTTTGAAGATTAGCCCCCGAACAAGTTAATTTTAGTTCGCGTCCACACAGGGGAGATACAGCGCAGCACTTTGGTGCGCGCTGCTATTCACATCTCCAGAGTCCAAACTGCGGGGCAGTGTAGACATGCCCTGAGAAAGGCAAACCAAAACCACTTTGTGCTCCAAGAATGTGGAAGGGATCACGGTCAGTTTCAATGTTTTGAATGTGACTGGTTTTAAAACCCCACTTCTCTGATAGAGCAGGACCCTGTAAATTGCACGTCCTGATTTACTACAATCTCCTTTTAAAAACATTGCCAGGATTTTTCTGCACCGCTGTTTATGTTTAGAAGGGTCTTTGGGGTGGGCCTGAGAGTAGGGACACATCCTTAGCCAGGGTGCCCCATCGTAAAGATGAGGACAGCTCGAATGAATCTTGCTTCCAGAGTTCAGTATTCATTAGGAAATTAGAACCTACCCAATGAACCCATCGGAAGTCTTCAGCTCCCATCGACACAGCAAGTCGGACTGTGTTGGTAGATCATATTACTCTGAAATAATGCCCTGACAGTGTTCTGCTAGATCACTTCTGTAGACAGGATCACACCATGTTATAACCTCATAACCATCCTGTAGAGATTAGGTGCCCGTGGTCTCCCTGGCAGTGAAATTGAGTAAATAAGCCCTGAAAGCCCACTTTTTGTTCACACAATGGTATGTGATAATAGCCAAATCCTCTTCTTAGCCTGACTGACAGTTAGGGTATGTCTACACTTAAACCGCTGCAGCTGCACGCTGTAGCACTTCAGTCTAGGTTCTCCCATCGGCAGAGGTAATGCACCGCCCCGAAAGGATGGAAGAATTCCTCCATCACCCTAGCACTGTCTACACTGGGAGTCGGGTTGGCATAGCTACAGCCCTCAGGGGTGTAGTACTTATGCAGATGTAAGTTCCCAGTGTAGACCAGCCATTGGCAAACGTGGTACAGTCCTTGTCCTTAATTCAAGGTACACCCTGACATTTAATCATGGAGAGATGCATTTTCAGCCACGCGTTTCTTTCCTCTCTGGGTGGGGAATCTCATTATAAGCTGCTCCCTTGCTTAGGAGTCACTCGCATCTTCCTTGAAATCATATTTCAAATGTCTGCGTGAAACACTCCTCTCTGAGGCTAGTTTGAAAGACATGAATCCTTGTTCAGAACACCCACGCTTCCCCAACCCTGAATTCGCTCACTCCCCCTGCAGCGCTCCACAGAGATTTGCTATCAGTGCCTTTCCTCCAGGCCAGGGACACTCGAATAAACACTCAAAGGATCGAAAAGCCAAGAGGGACAGTCAGAAGAGGGGGAATTGCACTTGAGATGCCCACCTTTTAAAGGGGAACCTTTGGTCTTTACATTCTGCTGGTCAAACAGGACAGGGCTATACTACAGCAGACTTCCCCGCCCGTCAGGGACCACGTAGGCCACTGGCTCGGGGACAGATTGGGGCTTCTATTCTTAGGTCTCCCAGCTCAGCAATAATGTAGTCAATGGGCCAGATCCCCAGCTGATGTAAATCAGTTGTAGCTCCACTGGAGCCAATAGGTCAAATCCACAAACTATGTCAATCAGCCGGAGCTCCACTAGGCTGATTTACTCCAGCGGAGGGTCTGGCCCACGAGTCACAAGTCCATATACCAATCTGTGGGCTGTTACAATGTTGCTCCCAAG